AACACACTATCCCAATAATCCCTTTTGTCCAGTTTGTCAGATCTCGAAGTCAACATCTAAGAGAGTCTCACGCAAACCTGATGTCAAAGATGACGACTTCATAGACCCACCAAAAGGTCCATATGAGCAGTTGTCAACTGACGACGTCATAATGGCAAAAGGAGAGGACTTCGCCGGCAAAGGCGTAGGTGGGGTTAAAGCATTTCATGTAGTCCGAGACACCTACTCGGGTGCTAGAATAGCATACCCCATGAGTAAGCGTGATGCCAGTACCCACTCCAAGAACTTCCGCCATTTTCTAGGCCTGAAGGCTAACGAGGTAGCTACACGCGTCCTTGTTAAGATGGACGAGGCTGGAGAGTTGGAACAGGCTGCACATGAAGTTGGGTTGATTCCGGAAACGTCCTTGCCAAACAGATGGCCCCATAACGCCATGATGGAAAGAGACATCCGTGAAGAAAAGGAGTGTTGCAGAGCAATCCACCTACAATCCGGGTTGCCATATTCCTTTCACACCCACTCATATCCCTTTGCATGTCTTTCCATGAGTTTTGACAGACCGTCAGCCTTGGAACCCGCAAAGACACAATGGGAGGCGCTCACTCGCAAGCCCTTCGACGGCATGAGACATTCATTTGGTCAACTGATGTACTACCGTGATAAGCGGGTATCTAAACGCACCTTAGAGCCTAACATGTCCCCATGTTTGTTCTTAGGTTGGCGAATAGATGCTGGTTTTCGATATCGCTATGTGGTTCGTGTTCTTGACTACATGGACTACAAAGTTAGTGAACACATCAATGTCCAAGAAGTCCCCGAAGCTGAGATTTATGTTGAAGATGGTCCTCCATGTTTTCCAATGGCCTCTGTTAAGCTAGCGCATTTGAAGGGAGGTTCTTTAGGAGTCCTCGACGATCTTGCACGTCTTGACATGCCGGATATCCCCATGAAGGAAATCCCTTTCGGGCTGGAGGGAGCCGACGCCGTACCACCAACTCCCATGGACCCTAAAACCAGGGGGGTGTACATCACTTTGGATCGCATCATCCGGTTTAGCGAAACCCCAGGGTGCAAAGCGTGTGAAAAGAAAACACGATACCACACGCCCGCATGCAGGAAACGTTTTGCCAAACTTGTTGACGAGGAGAGACGCGACATTCTTGCTAAAAGAAAGGAAGGCATCACCGTGGAGGAGCTTCCACCGCGGGAGCCCGAGACCGCGCCTCCGACGGATTCATCCGAAAGTGTCACTGAGGATGAGCCACACATCATCGATGCGACTCCGACTGTGATATCGGGGCTGTCGCTCTCGCCACATACCACATACAGGACACAACTCATCCACACTCGACCTGAGAGTGGAGTCCCGGTGTTTGGCATGCCATCGACAGCACAACCAGCTCAAGTTTCTAAGTCTAAGAAGAAGAAGAAGAAACCGCGTAAGGCGCGGCCTGGCCGATGCATGTTCGAGTTCGCATGTGCCTCGGATTCGCAAACGCACGAGACTTTTCTGGAGATGGGAATCCCCCACATTGCCCTTTCAAAAGAGCACCTCGATCTAGACGATCCCCAAATGCAAGCACAGCTGCACCATCATATAAGCACCTGTGATGAGATTCCTGATTTATGGGCCTCAATCCCTTGCACATCAGGGTCTCCTTGGCAAAGGGTAAATCGCATGAAAGGGGGGCTCAACTTCATGAAAAGGCATGCACTTCAGGTTAAGGAGTCTAAACGTTTATTTGCTGAATTCGCTAAGTCTGCAGAGCTTACTTTAGCTCGAGAAGGCACTGTCACATTCGAGTGGCCTAAAGGGTGTGAAAGTTGGCAACGCACAGACGTAAAACATTTCTTTGATAGCCACCCCGAGTTTGTTCCAGTCGAATTTGACGGGTGTGCTGTTGGTGTGAAATCCACTAAAGGCAGACCCATTAAAAAGAGGTGGCGCCTGATGACCACCAGCAGGGCTATCGTCGACATGTTCTCGCAGTTCCAATGCACCCATAAAACCCCACGAACATGATCAAGCGGTCGGGTCGCAGACAGCTCGTACTGCATTTTACCCAAGGCAGATGACCGTCCAAATTGCAAAGGCCCTATACCCTAGCATGTCTTTTTCCCATCATGCCCCAGCCATGCCATGTTTTTCATGTACCCATGAACATGAGCACAGGGGCAAAGAGCAGACGCTGAAACATGTGTCAGCTCTGTCGGGGATCGACGCTATGGCCATTGCAGTTGAGACAGATGACACTGTCGGGCAAATGGTTGAAGGTTTAATGGATATCAGTGCTCTTATGCACGAGGCCTACCAGATCCCTAAGACCGACGATGGTAAAGATCAGGTAGCAGCTTTGGTCACTAAGCTCCTAAGCCGTACCGAGATGCGCAGCGATCCTGAAGCCTTGCAAAAGGTTAAGGACGAGGCAGCCGACTTGGTTAACGAAGGTACTTGGGAGTATGAATCCGTAAGGGAAAAGGAGCACGTCCGTGCTGAGGCTAAGGCTTCCGGAGTCTCCGTCCATTTCGGTAAACTAATGACCATAGCCTCCATTAAATTTTACGAGCTGGCAAAAGAGTTGCAGAAAAAGAAAGGTAGGATTGTCTACCGAGGTGACTGCGCAAAGGACGAGCATGGCGCAGCAGCCGTCTATGAGGAATTAGGCGCAAACCCGACTTCGGTCCAAGGGTTGAACGCTTGTCTCGCCTACGGGTCACTACCAGGTAACCTGTGCACCGCCGCGGACGCGGTGAAGGCGTACGTGCAAGCAACACTAAAATCCAAGTATAAAACTTGGATCGAATTACCACCTGAACTTCGACCCGCGTGGTGGAAGAACAAATTTGTTCAACCAGTGGTCCTTCTCGTCAAGGCGCTGTACGGACATCCCGACGCAGGAGGGATGTGGGAACAGCATTTGAAGGGCATTCTTAAGAAAATGGGTGGCGAAGAAATCCCAGAGTTCCCCGGTAACTTCTGGTTTTCTGGCCCTCGTTTAATGTTATCCACATACGTTGACGACCTCACTTTGGCAGGCCCACGGGAGAACCACCAAAAGTTTTGGTCAGAACTCACGAATGTTGTTAACGTTGAACCACCCGAACCTATTTATAGAATGCTGGGAAGGAACCACATCTACGCGGTAGTCCCAGATTCAGGAAACACCGAAACCGCTGCCTTGCGCGGTAGTGCTGACGCCCTGATCTTCGACATGAAAGATTACGCGCAGCAAACCATCGACCTTTACAAGTCGGTGGCCGGTGTTGATAAGATAAAGTCAGCCCAGACGCCATTTCTCGCCGACGGCACATTCACCACGGCTGATGAGGAGTCGCCCGGAGAGCTCGCACCAAAGGCATGCTCTATCCTGATGAAAGCCCTTTGGCTTGCCAGGTTAGCACGGCCTGATATACTTAAGCCGATCAACGATCTGGCCACCAAGGTGCAGAAGTGGACCCGTGTCCACGATAAAAAGCTACTACGACTCGTTCAGTACATTCAGCACTCACTAGAATATAGACTAACCGCCGTCTGCGGCGATGATGCTAGTGAGCTGTGGCTAGAACTTTTCGTGGACGCCGACTTTGGTGGGGACCAACATGACGTGAAGTCGACCTCAGGGGGGTACTTAGTACTTAAGGGCCCTAACACCCACTATCCACTAGCATGGGTGTCGAAACGGCAGACCTCCACGTCAAGATCCACTACAGAATCGGAAGTAGTAAGCTTGGCCTATTCGTTGTATCAAGAAGGACTACCTTCGCTACAGATGGGATAAACTTCTTGGACGGGACGTTAACCTCGTCATACAGGAGGATAACCAAGCCACGATTCTTGTAGTAAGGAAGGGCTTTTCCCCTAAGCTACGACACATCAGCCGAACACATAAGATAAACCTCAGTTCCTTAAAGGAATGCATCGACGACCCATCTGTCGAAATTAAGTACATCGATACGAATGAACAAGCTGCAGACATTTTCACCAAAGCGTTGCCACCACAAAAGTGGTTCAAAGCGCTATGCTTGCTTGGCATCCGTACAGATTTAAAGTGCTTAGTCCCATCTAAGACAGATAGGAGCCTTCCGAGCAGTTCGAAGCCTTCGTAGGTCGTCGAAACCGCAGCCACCCGGCGCGGTAATTCATGCATGTACAGAGGAATGCTGCCCCAAAACGGGGAGGGGGAGTCATTTTCTATGAACCCCTACTATGTAACAGCTATTCACTACTTGTACATGTCTATCTATTTAGCTACGGTTCACTGAGGCATGTAAAACACATGCTACAACCGTTGCTCTTGGCTCAAGAAAACAAGTGCTCCTGCACGGGTTTTCTTCAGGGTGCCGTGTTGACTGGGCTGTGTCCGGTCGCACCTTCGCTTTCGCTTTGCACTCGCTTCGCTCGTTCGTTCGTTGCTGCCACATCGTTCGTTCGACACCCTGCACTGTCAACCACGGGTACCCGACCGTCCAACCGCCGTGTCTTGGTCCCAGTTGATCGTGCCGCTAGGGATTTGGCATACCACTTCTACTTCCTCCCGGTTGATAGAATAAGTTGGGCCATCCCTTATCTTCCCAATAATTTGTGGATTCAATTGTTTCCAAATCTTTTCCGGTACCTCAGAATGTCAAAAGTCTGAGCATAGCGGGATCTTGCGGGAGTTGCAAGGTGTGTGTGCTATTTCCATCGCCACCAACTCAAGTGGTCACGGTAGTCTTATCATTTAAAAACAACATCTCGACCACCGCGAAAACCACAATTCACCAACTCTACTTCCAATGACAAAGGCACCGCACACCTCACGTGTCATGGCTTGAACACCACAATATGATCATATTATATATATATGTAACATGTATATCTACATCTATCCAGGTCCATCTCTCTATCATTGTGGACAAATATAAAGCCCTCCCAAAACTTCTATCGGCTCCTGTCAGCTCAAGAGTCTGGTGCTTTGGTATGGGGTCTATGCCTATGTCTCAACTTCTGCCTTCGCCAGGCGCCGCCCAGTCGAAGCAGGCAGAGTGCTTTGGAGCGCTTGGAGGCGCGTGTGGGTCTCGTGTCGAGGAAGTCAGGCCAACGACCGGTTTCAGGCATTCGACTTGAGAAGCCTTAAGAGGTTGGTGCCTAAATATCTGCCTGCAACAGTGAAGCAAGCAACATTAAGCACGACCGAAAAGGACAGGAACATCAGTACGCAGTAAAGTCTTTCTTTTCTTAGAAGTGGCATTGCTTGTCCAGGGCCTCCGCAGCCTGGGAGCCGAGGACGGGCGAACCAAGAACAAAGCGGAGAACCGAAAAAAAGAGGGGGGGGGAGATGGCCTCAGTCTAAAAGGCTTGAAACCAGGTAGGTTTGGCTCCTTTGGCTCGTTTTAGCAAAAGCACGAAGGAAGGATCTTCTTAGGCAGGACATGATGTTGGAGCTAATTGCTTTTTGACTGAAGTAGATTTGAGACGCTACACCGCACCGGCCTCGTGTAGGTGGTCGCCGTTACACGGCCAGTTCTTTTCATAAGGAGCCCGTCCTGAATTTTTCCGAGTGGTTCGTTGATACATATACAGTATATATATATATTATATATATATATTTGTATGCATACATACCTGAAGCCTGAGTGACCTCTATTTTGTAGGATCAACGATCCACAATATGGTCTTTTCCGATCAAGACAGAGGTCACTCAGGCTGGTATCAATGGCCTTTGTGGACAGACTCTTTGAGACTCTTTGATCCCGGACCTTCGAGACTCAAAGCGTCAGAGGGAGGACACCTGGGATCCATCCTCACGCTCTGCCAGGGCGAGCCTGAAGTCGTTGAGGCACGGTACCAACAGAACGGGAGTCCGCTGGGCTCCGACAGTGTGTCTTTCTGCACCATGGTGGACACGGGGCAGTTGTGATCTATGCTGCTTTAAAGACTCGTGTTTACTTGCACGTGTAGTTCAACACTGGGAAGGTGGAAGACGAGGGAAGTGCTGCTGATCACTGCACTAAGCTGTGAACTGCGCTGCCATTTTCCCGTCCTGTTTGGCTGGGTCCGAAGGACAGGTGTGGAAACTGGAATATTCTTCCGCTTGTTCAGCGCACAAGTGCTCCTCAATTTTCGCCACAAAACGCCGTAAAGAGAAGAGGGTATTGTGTGTTGCTGTTTTCGTAAGATGAGGTTGTCTTCAAAAAGTGCTCTGCTCTCCGGTGCAATAGAGTTGTGAACGACTTTCCCAATGGTGATAGCTGATGTTGCCCGAGAAAACGACCCGAAACGGCCGTGGCCAGAAAACACACCGACAAGCATCTGAGAGAGCTGCGACTTTCGTTGTGCACACCTGTGGAGCCCCCCGAAGTGGTGGCCGTTCTGGCCTCGTTCGCCCCTCCTCAGGTGGACCGCTTGGCCAAAGATGCCGAGGAGGCGCCCCTGGAGGAGAACCCGCCGGAAGACCTGAGGAGACCGGGCTTGGCTGGGCGAGTCATGGTGCCTATATCAAGGCCAGTCGATCATTTTGAGGTTGGTGCCACCTCGTGGAAAGCGGACAAAGCGACTGTGGTTGGCACATGTTGGCACAAGCGGGCGAAGCGACTGAGTTCTTGATCACAGGTGCACTGAGGTACCTCCAACCCCTGAGAGCCCCTGGGAGCTTCGCTCATCCTTGACTGGCGCTCCCGAAAGGATTTGGAAGGAATCTGTAGAATCCTCGAAAGCCTAAAAGCAGCTTTGCACAGCTTTGCTTCCTCAGGCCACCGGGAAGACTAGGAACCTGCCTTCCAAATTGCAGGTGAACGAAGAACACACGGAACCTGTTGCAGAAAACCTAATAGTGGCGTTCTTGTTCCTAGTAGTAAGGCCAGGAGCCCCTAGTAGCGTCCTTGCTCCTAGTAGCGATGCCAGGAGCCCCCAGTAGCGTCTTTGCTCCTAGTAGCGATGCCAGGAGCCCCCCAGTAGCGTCTTTGCTCCTAGTAGCGATGCCAGGAGCCCCCAGTAGCGTCCTTGCTCCTAGTAGCGATGCCAGGAGCCCCTAGTAGTGTTCTTGCTCCTAGTAGTAAGGCCAGGAGCCCCTAGTAGCGCGTCCTTGTTACTACCCTTATTCCTTTCTCGTTTCAGTGAGAATATCTTGGCGTCATGGCTTGGTCTTCCTCACTGAAATGACCCAAGAATACGGGTGAGCGGGCGGACCCCAGATCAATTTACTGCTACCCGGATTGAGTGAAGCTGCAAAGCAAGCTGGGATCATGCGAGATACACGTGACATAGTTAATAATGTAGATTGTTGATTAATAACCCTCTCATTTGGATGCACGCACTTGCGGACCGTCAAAGACGAGCGCACCCACTCTTCCCCTTCTCGCGTTGTGCGAGGGGTAAAGGTGGGAGTGAACCAGAGTGAGACGTCACTAGAGCTACCGTGAAGAAAGGGAATGAAGAAGTAAAGTGTAAACGAACCACGACGAAAGGGCGACAAAAGAACTGCATCCGTGATGCGGCAGGTCCACATGACGAAAGATCTCCTCTGGCAAACGTTCAAATTCAAATCGAGCTGAATTAAGAAGTGTGCCCCACCAACCTCATGGGATATACAGAGAAACGCGAAGAGGCGTCAAGCTACCCTTGAGTCGATTGGGGAACCGCTTCAAGTGAATTATCGAACCTGCTGGCTCAATTAGTTCAACATATCAACTGGCAGTAGGGTGTCTAATAGTGTCGAAGTCCTTTTTCCGAGCCGTGGCGTTACGGATGAGTACCAAAAAGGAATCTCTCTGGTCTGCCGGAACCTCGGGCCAAACTGGCCAGGGATTCGGTGCAGTGTCTGCTGGCAAATCGGGGAGAGGGATCTCTGTGTGGTATGGCGGCTCATGGGGCATGTTCTGCAAGAGCCCATGCAAAAAATCACACATTTGAGGCGCGTTGGGTAACTGCGGCCGGCGCGAAATGCCCCCTTCATGGTAAGGGGTGAAACCCAGTCGCCTTAGGCTGGAGGAGCCCTGCTTCTTATACTGCGGGATAATGTGAGATCTGGAAAAAGTCTGTATATGTTTCACAATCCATCTGAAGTTTTCTGCAAGAACCCGAACACTTCTTTGCTTAAGCGGCAACACACTGACTCGCGGATCATCATAGGGCAAGAGAAGTGTCTTATTAGCTTCACGGAGCTTGATGGGCAAGGGTCGGCGAGACCATAACATGAAAGAGCAAGCAAGCTCCGTCCATGAGATTCCCTGTTCGCCTGTGATAGGCGGGGTATCAGGGCAGGGCCAGCTCAGTTGTCGGCAGTATAACCACACCATACGGGCTAGGTTAGTGCCCCAGGGACAGCACCAAAAGACGACTCGGTGTGGTTCAGCTGGGTGCTCAAAAAGATGGCCCTGAACTACCCAAACTCGGAGTTTTTGCATTTGTGTGAGATATGCTGTGTGGGCGGAGGTGCTCTGCATACCCGCAGGGGCGGCGCCAGAGACGTCTGGGCATCGATGTTGCTCGATTTTTAGCATACGCGATAGAGCAAGGTCGACAAGGTATGCATAAAGTTTGTCACAATGGTTGGACTCCTGGAGGCGGTGGACACGGGCTGGTTGACATAAGGTGGAAAATGTCAGATCGTCTGTGAGTCTGGCTTTCCCTGCGGCCTCATCAGCACAAGCATTCCCGTGTATATGCCAGGCTTCAAGCTGATTATTAGCATCCGAAAGAGTCTGATGGGATTTAATTTTGAGAACGAAATACCGTGATGAGTCCCAGAGTTCAAGGAGGCGCTGAATGAGGTCCCAATGTGCTTGCTTGTGTGGATGTCTCCAGATAGTGCCTGATTCAATCGCAGATAGAATATCAGCAACAAATTGAGAGTCGGTAACAAATGCCACTGAATGCGTAGCGGAACAAGACACGACCTGCTCGACGGCGATAACCATGGCAAATAACTCTGATCTATTAATGGATTGATGACCAGGGCAATGCCCGCATGCAAGGACACGAAATACTTGCAGCTGATGAGACTCAGGGTGTGGTGTGCGAATGACTACAGACCATGCGGCTCTGGCCGTGTATGGGTCACGGGTGTCGTCACATGAGCCATCCGTGTAAAGGACGGTGTGCGGGGGTACAGAGGCAAGTGGCTGTATGGAGATGGAGGTATGACGCAAGAACATAATTACCTTGGCGTAGAAGTGCGACTTGTGGATGGTGTGTTGGTAACGGAAACCAGCATGTTCTGCGGTTATGTTGCATATAGCGTATGGCTTCGGGATGCTTGGCACGAACTTCCTCAAAGCAGGGGCATTCGAGGAGTTGGTGGATGTGTGTGTCAGGTTGAGAGCAAAATGGACATGAGGGATCCTGAGTTGCCGACCATTGCGAGATGGCCCCCAGTGACTGCCACCCTGATGTCAGACTTAAAGCAAGTATGCGACGCTGGCGGTCGGTACGATGGCCAAGAATGCGCAAGGTGGTTGTTGAGTCGAAGGGTTCTAAGGGAACGCCCTTACGGTGCATGATGTTCTGATGACAAACCCAGTCCCATGCGATGCGAGTTTGATTACGAATTTGACGGTTCGAAGAACCTCTGAGGTTGACCCGGAGGCCACCGGGACCTAGCAAAGTGGCTTGTTCTGTCAAATCCCAGCTGAGTAAACGAAGGTAAGAGGCCAGAGCACTCGCGGGTCCGCGGACTTTCCCCGTGAAGGCACGAATCGATGCTACCATCTGCTCCGCAAGGCATGGGTAGTAGAGGAAAAAAACGCCGCAAAGACGCCAGCATATCGTTTACAACGTACAGCAGGGGGTCTTGCACTCGGGTGGACAAATAATGCATGGCAACAAAGCTAGATGCGTGTTTATGGTCTCCAACTAAGACGGTCGCTGGAGCTCGCCGGAGTGTGGTAAAATGCTTTTGGCCAATGGACGTTCCCAATGCACCGTAAAAGACCGCGGGCCATACTGCCACTTGAATTTTCTCGGCACGGTCATCAAGTGTCAAGCTAAGCTTGCGCAAGCGGTTGCATTTCCTCTCATTTGGATTGTAATACCTCTTCATAAGTCTTTTTTTCCAAGACCCGGTCTTCGAAGTGTTCACCACGCACGCCCAGGTTCGCCTCCTTCCTGAGCCTTCGCCCACCAAAGCCCGTGTGGACACCGAGGGGAAACACGAAGCACCTCAACCAGTCGCCGAAGACCGACGGACGACGTGCCGGCACGTCAGAATACTTCGGCCGGATTTTTGGTTGTTTTGAATCAATATCTCGCTTCCACCCACAACCGGCCGAAACAACAAAAACAACCAAAACACTGAATTTCCTTTCACCCACTGCATGGCACTGTATTCTTTCTTTTCGAAATGCTCCATGAAGATCCGAGAGTGAACCCCTTGATGTGAGCGGGCTTGTGGTGTCCCAAAGACTGTTGTTGTGAACAGGCTCTGGGACTGTTCTTTGTCACGCTGTCTTGGTGCGACATGACACCGAATGAAAGCCCTGGTGTGAAGACTCGGCAAACAGGTTTTTCCATGAGTAGGAACGCCGTTTGAGGCCGAGCAGCAAGAGCTACAGCTTGAGCAACGCCACTGGGCAGCAGATTTGAGGCTTTACAAAGCAGCCATTGAGACATCTTGAGACGTGCTTTTTTGGGGAAGATAGGTTGAGACGCTGTTCAACTTGGAACGGTTGGCGGTTTGAAATATGCTCTACTTTTGAGCTTTACCTGGGATGATCAATCCCAATGATCATTATTTTCTCAGGTGGTTTGAAACCACCAACAAGATCCAACAAGCAGATATTTAGGCCGGATGTATCGTCAACATCATTACCACCCTTCTTGACGGTCAAAGATCCAAGAAGGAGCCTGGCTCACCAGCCTCCTGTAATTAGACTCGACCTTAAAACCCAAGCTGTTTGCACTGAGATTTGCGGCAAGATGTACTGAAGATGAAGAAGCAACTGCTGGAGGCACCAAACGTAGACGCAGTCAGTCCGTCAGTCCGGCCTGGCCTTTGGCTGCCTAACGTTGGGTCTCATTCGGATGCCTGTAGCAAAGAACAAGACTGTTCTGAAAAAGAAACAGGTCACGGAGCCGCTGGTGACGGTCTACAGGGATTCTGCTCTACAGCTGGTGGCAATATCATCCGTCAGTTCCTGTGCTCACCAAGACGTAGCTTCAAACCCCCAAAGGGGCGTGCCATGCCGAGAAATCCCCAGAGATGTGAGCTGGTTGATCTTAGAAAGGGCGACAGAAAGGGCGACCGGCACCACCAACCACGAGAAACATCATTGGTCCCATGACTCCAACCAAATGGACCTCGAAATTCAACAAAGACGGCAGTTTGCCTCAGAGGGCGCTTTTTGATACCCAAAAAAGACCTTGAATGCCTTTGTGTTTTGCGTTTCATCTTACGGGTGAGGCCATTCTGGGAGATTCCTCTCCGCTGCAGGTGGCCCTAAACCTCGAGCTTCAGGTGCGAATCCGAACTCCTGAAGACGTCGAGAATCTCGATGGCTAGGGAAGCATCACATGTGGTTGTACCGGTGGCTTCTTGTTGTTTTCTTTTGGTGGCCAACCAAAGGGTCTTGAGGCTTTTCTTTGCCAGCTGAGAGGTTGAGCTCACCGTCTCATGCTGTTTGCGTCTTTGAAGCAAAGTCCTGGTTCGCGGCGTTTCATGCGGAACACGCATCCGTCACTCGCCGGCCTTTTCCACATTTCCGGCAAGGCCATCGACCCAGAGACCCCTGAAGAGACGGCGCTCCGTTTGCGGAGGCTGCAGAAAGCACATAGGTGCACTCCCTGCGCGCGAAAGCGCGCGAGGGGGGTGGTGGGCGGGGCATTGTTCGGGCGCTTGCTCAGCACCGACACCAGACGGTCCACGGAGTCTGATGAATTCAGAAGGGGGACTCGTCGTTGCCCTCGTTGCAGCGTTCGTTGAACCCCTTGGACTCGAGAAAGTGCGACCATTCATTTTGAGCACGTCGTTACCCTGGTTCGAGTTTTCATGCATTCTTTTGGTTTGTGGTTTCTACATTCTGAAACCAAGTGTCCTCAATGTCCACTGAGCCATAATCTACTTGCATCTACCTCCACCATTCTTGCATCATTTCACAGAGCATTGCAGGGATTTCTTCTATACCTGTCCCAGGGCAGCTAAAATCCTTGCCATTCTTTTCACCTGCTGCCACTGAGTCTTTTTACAATCTTCCTCTCTCTTCCCTGAGGCACCCAAGTCAGTGAGGGTACTCAGGGTGTTGCTAAAGACCGTTAATTTCAATGTTATTTCAATGGGTTTTGATGAGCTGCGCTCGAAAACACATGACCTTCGTTTCTTATCGCATCCTTTCATAGAATGAACAGGTCTTGCCCGTACCGTGCTGAGCACACGGCCGATGAGATACTTGCTCCATCCTGAGCGCACGGCCGACGCCTTGAGTGGCAGCGAGGACGGAGTCCACCCCGAAGCGGCGAAGCACGATGCGCCGCGAGCACCGCAACGAAAAACCATGCGGCACCGGCAATCACGAGGTTCTAGCACCTACTCCGAGCCAACATGGAGGTGGAGTTCACCACCTGTTTGGTATTCAGACCATGATCCATCCTTTTGGGGCCATGCCATCCACTTCCATGATAATTTCAGGGAGTGTAGACCAGGGAGATAAAGATCAAGTCTAAGTCTAGGTTCCACTTACCACGGAAATGGATGAACCATAGAGTTCTCCAGTTTTGCGAGAGATCCAAACACCTTTGTCCATGGTCTTCCCTACTGTGCTCTGGAAGTATGGCTCCAACCATGGGTATCTCAACCCTCTTCGTTTATACAGGAGTGGTGATGAGCAACTGAGGTTTTCCTCTGAAAGTGGGTGTTTGGGGTTCGTTGTTGAGCCCCCCAGTCCATGAGACGTCTCAACACCACGCAGAGAGGCACCCCGGTAGACGAGCGAGGGACCTGGCGGTGCCGAATTGTTGCACCAGGATGAAGACAGCAACTTGCAGAGCAAGATCGTTGCGCAAAGCCCCTCACACGCCAAGCTGTTGCACAGGCGGGAAGCTTCCCGTAGTACACTAACACCGAGTGTTCAAAAAACACTGATGGGCACAGTGGGCAGATTCTCAGCTCGTAGATCACCGATTTCCGGTTGCGGGAGCTGCGGTACCGGGGCACGTAGCGCGACGCCCTCTATCTATATATCATATTATATTGTATTATACATATATCATCGTATATCTATCTATATATCATCACATATTTGTATATTTATACATCATTACATATTGTATATACACTGTTATTTTTGCATGTTGGTGGCTTGCAGGCTGGAGAACGACCAGCGCCGCTGGAGCATGGGCATGATGCGGAGGCGTGGGATTTTGATCTGACGGGAATACATTAAATACAGGGTAGGGATGGATTGGGAGGACATGGAGGGCACTTCCACGCCTGCGAAATGAGTGACATAATGGCTGGCCAAGAAGAATAGGACTCTTAGAGAGCTCTTTCGCGTGCAAGATCCGTTGCTAAAATTACAATGGCACTGTTTGCATCCTGCGGTGACCGTGTGACATGCTATTTTTGGGTGTCTCATGACACCGGCGGCTAGTGATTGCTAGCCCTGCTTGAGAGGACCAGATTGGTGCCTGTGGAATTTCAGCTCTCATTCGGAGGTCTGAGACGCTATCAGAACATCCGGGGCTGTTTTTGTGGGGGTTTAAGCTGATGTCAGCTGATGTCAAAGGAAGGCAGCTGCACTTAAAAAAGCACGACTTCCACCAGGCAAGCCCCCCCCAACGTCTTCACGCCCACAGAGTCGCGGCCGACCACCGTCTACCAGGCGTGGCACTAACAAAAAGTGTTTGCAGGGTCCGATGAAAACAGGTGCTTTGGAGAATCCGTGTTTTCCTTACGAGGGTTGACATGAGGGGCCAGTGGGAGGAAGATACAAGCTTCAACCTCTTGGCATATTTGGCAGATGTGATCGGTCAGCCATATCGAGCCATACCATACCCATGTCCAGGAAGAGAAGACATGGGAAAATCACCGGAGTGGAGCGACATGTTCCGACACTAAAGTAAACGAGACTTAGCGAGGTGTGTTGTTAGTCCCAAGTGGGTGTTCTTTGACGAACTGAGCATTTTTGCCGTTCTCTCAATGTCAGCCAGCTGGATAGGATGAGATCGCCTTCGGCCAGAAAGAGAAGAGATCGGGGCTCGGAAGCAGGGCGAGCCGCAAGAAGGACTCACGTGTTCATGACTCAAGTTTCGGGACATGTCCAGCTCAGCAAGGCTCGTCACTTTGACGACACTTTTCCGACAGAACATGCCACAGTCCTTCATCCTTTCACCACGTTTTGGGGAAGAACCTAAGTTGTTTGCCCTTTCCAGGAGCAGCAGAGTGCGTGGGGGCACCCGGAAAGACTGCGCACTACACGGAAGGGCGGTTTGGACAAGTGATTGAATCTCAGTCGATTTGCCCAAAAACACCAATCGAACCTCATTGAACCTCCAAAAACACTGCATCGAACCTCATCGAACGCCTTAGCGACTTAAAACGGGATGAGGCGAGGCCGCACTGAGGCCCTGGTGGCGTTGCATCGCCTGTCTTTCAAGACACTCTTCCCAAATAAAGCGGCAGGTCACGGGTATTCCATCAGAGCCTCGAGGATGTCGCGAAGAGCGGATTGATGTACTACACTACTGCAAACACTAGACTATAGTGGTCTCCAAATGGATTGAAACGGCTCGGAACGCATTTTGAGCGGGGTGTTCTTTCTATTTGTTTTGGGGTCATGGCCCATGGCCTCTTTTGGTGTTGATCCGACCTTTATTAATGGCGAACCGTGCTCTAGAGAATATCCGCTACTGTTATCTACTGTTCACTTTTTTGGGGCCAGAGAAAGGGGCACCAGAAAAACGACTTAGATCTCCTTTATTCTCACCACTGATCAAGATCTGGAGAATGTCTTGGAAGCTGACCTTGGGAGGTCGATTTGGTTGGGAGGTTCCGATGTTGCAACAACTATATAGTGTTCTCTGCACATGTATATCGACAGCCCGATCTTTTTTGAAGGTAGGATCCTCTTCGCCTTCTTCCTCTTCTTCTTGCTCCTCTTCTTCTTCTTCTGGTGAGGGAAAGAAGGTGCCCATGTTCTTTCTTTTTTTCATTCCTTGCGAACCCTGGAGGTCTGCGCCGAACCTTGCAGAACAGAGGCTGGGTCTGCGACCTGCGTGAGTTGTGGTGTTTGGAGATCCGGGTTACGCAGTGGCCCAGTAGGAGACTGGGAAAGAATGAGCCAAGAAAGAGGGCCATCCGAGTTCATTTAGTCTGGTCCTTTTGCCAGGCGGCTCCAATTTGGGGAAACCGTCTTGTTCATTTGGTTCAGAATGCTCTTTTCTTCCTTGTCCTCAAGCCCTTTAAGAATCAGTTTGAGAGCAGGATAGAACACGTTGGCACAGCAGAGACCTTCTGGAACTCATGCAACTCCTGAATTCCTTATCTGCCATTCTGGAAGTGTGGAGTCCTTTCAGCAGTTTTGTATCACAAAATTGCAGACAGCTTGAAACGGTGTTATGTCCACAGTACGCGCGTATACACGCTCAACATTTGTGAAGTCAATGGAACAAGAAGAAGCTTTAGGACACCTTGCATTTGCATATATGGTGCATGCATGTGCATGCCCTTTACCTTGGCATAGTTTTTTACGCATATGTAGGACCCATCACACTTATCGGGATAAGCAAGCAGATGTGCCAGAGAGGTGGGTGTTTTCAAAGCAATGCCCAAATCAAAGTTGCTGGCTTTAGCCTTCTGTTTGGAGACAAACGAAGTGATGGGCTTGGATGTTCATACACAACGTAAAAGCTGTGAAACCATCGCCTCCTAAGTTTTTGAATTTTAAAATTATCCCTTGTCCATAGGGTGGATTGATCGTTTGTTCATCGACAGTCAACTGTTCCCCCTGGTCCTGCGGGATAGCTCGGCCTTCTCCGAGGCCGTTGCCGCCCCTGTGCAAACAAAAGCCTTCGCTGCAGCACCTAGCAGGGGGGGCACGTGGCGTTGGGAGACAGAGGAGTTGTTGGAGGAATTGTCAGAATGGTTTTTCCCCAAACAGGTTGCCGTTGGGGTTCTCTCTTGGGACAAGCAAGAGCACTGGCCGTCCACCCTTTCTTCACCGCCTCGCCGTGGGCCCGTGTGTCCTTCTTGTGTGCGTTGTCGGCCCTCTTATGACCGCCTTGTCTGGCCTTGTCCCCTGCTTGGCCGGCTCCACCGCCTTGTCCGGTTTTTGCTTGTGGCTATGAATGCAACAGTAATCCAGCGTTTCAATCTTGATAACATCTTCGGACATATGTATACACCCTTAATTATACCAGCATAGACCCCCCAAACAGTTTCAAAACGATTCGTTTGGACCAATATTCGTCAAACACGGTCTCTTGGTACGCCCTACCTTCCCCCCCCTAAGAGCAAACTGCTTTATCAATGCTTTTTGTCGGCATGTACATCGCTAATTGTTCGGCCACAAGAGAAGACAAGAGAAGAGCAGGACAAGAGAAGACAAGAGGAGGACAAGACCCGGTCACACAGTTCAGGGGCGCGGCCAGTCAGTGTGTCCAGGGCTGGTCAGCGCGGCCAAAGGGCAAGAGAAGGACAAGAAGAGGACAACAGCAGGACAAGAGAAGGACAAGAGGAGGACAAGACTCGGCCACAGAGCCCGGCCGCAGAGTTCAGGGGCGCGGCCAGGACCGTACTGGTGAATTTCATCCGACCTTTCAGTTCATCCGAGCCGTCGGACGCCTTCAGCTGGAGTGCCTTTGGTCCTGGAACGGGGCCGAGGTTTCGGACGTGGGAGGGAGACCTGGTGATTGATGAGAAGTCCCTGGCGCCACTGACGCTTGTGCCGAGCTGGAGAGGGTGAGGAGGTTGCTTGGCGAGGGAGGACTCCAGGTCAGGTGAACCCAGGAGATCCAATGAACCGAGATTTGGAACAGTAGTTCAACTGAAGTCTATGGGACTTGGCTTCTCACTCTAGTTCTTTTCATTTCTAGATCGTAATCATAATCATAGAAATAAGTTTGAAGGATAGAATCTTCGGGCTACTCATGTCAAGTTCTGCAGGTCTGAAAGGACTTGAAGAAACTCTTTCAGGACATGCTTGAAATTATGGCTAGTTATCCCTAGTCATTGTCTCGGGCAGAGATAGCTACACTGACCCTGTTTATGATTTTTCAGTATGTATTTGTTTGTCTCTCCATGTGACCCTCCGATGAAGACATGGAAGCAGAAGATGGGAAAACAAAAAATCACAAGGGGCTGGTTGCCATTCCTAATGTGAGAGTCACAGCGAACGTGCTATGATTTCTTGCTGCTATCATCTTTCTGAGGATAGAGAGGGGTGATGGGATCTGACAGGTTGGTCATCGTGTTTCTGGATTTGTTTTGCTTGGCGTGTGTAGTGTTTCAAGGTGGTATACACACTAGACACTAGATAAGAAGCAGGACATAACAACATGGCATAGCCAGTGTTCCCAACTTGGAGTCCAGATGTCGAATCCCTGCAGCTGTCCAACTGACATGCTCAGCATGTTTGTGTTCAGCTTGTTTGCATTCCAGATGCCCAAACGAACTGCTGTCCCTGCTGTCAACTGAGGACTGGCTGGTATTGGAAGACAAGGACTGAGCAACAAGAGTGGCGAGCGCTCTTAAACCGGTGAACTCATGTTTCGTTTAACCTATAAATCATTATAAATCCTATAAAACCAACAATGAGTAGAAATCCTTGGCAAGTTTATGCCTGGCTGGAAGAAGTTCGCTGGGGTGTTGTCTCGGATTGCCAAGAACTGCTTCATGTTGCCTGCGATATGCCTCCACCTTTAGAAGCTGACAGGATGACGTCCCTGATTTCAGGCACTTCACCTCGCATGAACCCCTCCAAGTGGAATAGCCCGTCCGTCAACTTGTGTGAGCTGGGCAATTGCTTTCAAAGTCCAACTCGTCCAATGTAGCATCTGGTCCGGTAGAACCTCTTTATTTGATCTCCTGGCTTACAACTTCTTCGGAAGGTTCTCTGGAATGAGCTTCGTGCCAAAGACCTGTGGGGCAACGTGCCAATGATACACCATGAGTCTACATCTTCTACTACCGTCCTAGTAGCTTGGCGGTTTCTAGTCCTACCTGCACAGAAGTGGGTCCGGGGACGGCGGCGCGACGAGCCCTAGGAGTTGGAATATCCATATCTCTGGGAAGGACCTCCGGGCAAGCCGGCGCATCCCGGAGATGGCGGCAGGCGAGTCTGGGACAAGCCTTGACCCTGGTGGTTGGACACATGTTTTGGTTGGACTCATCTTCCAAGAAGCTTGAAGCTCCAAGGCTTGTCCAGTTACACACACGAAAGTAGTTCACCAATACATATACTGTAATTGCTTTGTAGGCTGAGGACTAGATGTTCAACTCACCCACCTGTGGAATCTCAAGGTTTTCTGACCTTTTTCATCGTGTGGAATTCCATGACAGTCCGCCACCTCGCCCCAAAACACGCCCGACGAGTTCAGTGGCGGCGTGTTTTCTGGGCAATATCGCTTCAGCATGTGAGCCACGATCAAAGCTTGCGAAGGCAACTTTAGTAGAGAAGGGTACTGTAGGTTTGTGCACGAAACTCTGTAAAACAACAAGGTCCACCTCAAAACTAATCGCCGAACATGTCCAATATTTTGTTGAAGAATAGGAATAATCAGAAGTAGTAGCAGTACTAGCAGTCGTAACAGTAGAAACATTAGTAGTAGTAGTAGTTGTAGTAGTAGTAGTAGTAGGTAGTAGGTAGTAGGTAGTAGGTAGTAGGTAGTAGGTAGT